GAAAACGAAAAGAGATCTTAAAAGTCTGTTAGGACTATGTAATTATTATCGCGATTATATCCCAGGGTATGCAGAGATCGCCTACCCACTCACAGAACTCACGAAAAATAAACAACCGGAAATACTCGAATGGAAAGAAATTCATGAGTCAACATTTCAACAACTGAAGGAACGATTAGCGATGTCAACGGAGCTGATTACCCCAACACTGCAGGATCCGTTTGTCATTCATTCTGATGCATCCCAAATCGGAATAGGTGCATGTTTGTCACAGCAAAGGGGAGAGAAGCAATTTCCCATCTGCTACGCGAGCAAGAAATTATCGAAACCTCAACAGAGCTGGCCGACTATAGAGCGTGAAGCTTATGCTATAGTATGGGCATGAAGAAGTTTGAACCTTGGATATTCGGTTCATCGGTGAAAATTGTGACTGATCATAATCCTCTAGCCTTTATAGTGAGAAATGCTCCGCAATCGTCCAAATTACAACGATGGGCCATAGCTTTGCAGAAATATAATCTCGAAATAGAACATTGCCCTGGAAAAAAACTGTCAAACGCGGATGCATTATCCAGACTTCCCACTTGTGAACTTTGAACATTAATTTACTGTTCATCTTCACGAACATTTTGTATAGTTTAATAATTAGATAGTTTTCTTTGCTTTTCATAATCATTTTACAATTTTGTGCAAATAAGATGTTTATGTAATTTGAAATAGGTAGAGAAATTATTGGATAACAAATATTCGAGGTAAGTGGTAAATTTAGATATTTGTCTCCCAAGGATTTAAATCATGCTGCAGCATCATTAATTAAAAGGAATGTTAAGAATATAATTTTATATATATATAAGAAACTTAATAATTTTACTGTCATCATTGGAATAATACTAGGGTATATTTTAACATGTTTTATAAAAAAAATATCAACTTGGTTTCTTTGAATTAAGAATTGATAAATTGTTACAATAATAATAAGGTTCGGAACAAGTGAAGTTAAAAATGATTTATCTATGTTTATATATAAAAATGTGTTATCTATGTTTATGTAGTAAATTGAGGTATGTCTATAGTAATTGAGATTTGAAAATTAGGAGAGAATGTATAAAAGTATATGTAGTTTTTTTTTTTTCTTTTTCACGTTGATCGCAAACAGTTGCTAGATTTTAGTTTCCAGATTGCTGATTGATTTGTAAATAATATCAACAACAATCTTACGACGGGGGTGTGATATCTGGCGACTGTTTGGCGATCAACAGAGCATGCTTGGCGCAGGTAGCTCTTCTTCGAGAAGGGTTAATGTATTTATTAGGAGTTGCATGTTAGCCTCGGAAGAGGAAGGTAGTAGATTGTACTATGCGGTAGGAGCGACGTACTGCTCTGAGTAACTATTATATTATTATTTGAATTATATATTTAATAAATGTTTGTTTCGTCTTGCTAAATGGTGCCTTATTAAACCATGAAGTCATCACATTGACCTTCTTAAAATTCCAACCTAAGTTCAGCTTAAAATGTTTATTTCTATGTTTATTTTCGCTGCATTATTTTCAAAACTGTTTCTGGAAGTCAATTTTTTTATGCTTAATTTTTCGTTACATATTTTAAGTGGTCTTTATAAAAAGAAATAGAAGGAATTAAATGCCTAAAATTTCCATAAAGTTAAAAAATTTGATACTTTTATAACGTTTTGCACAGCCTATCAAAGTTTTATTTGTTTTAATTAAATGAAATATTACTTACTTCATTCAAATGTTCAATTTCTTAAAAAAAATATTATTTTGAAATTGTATTTAGATCATTAATATAAAGATCTACAGTTCTATTATTTACTTAGCTGTACTCACATGTTAAGTTCTCATATAGTTGAAAGCATGCTATCTTATTTTCTAGTGTTTAAATCATCTTTAATTTAAATTTTTATATCGAATGTACTTATTGAATTCATATAATGCGATTTTACAAATATTTTTGTTGCTTTTTGCTGTTACAGCATCCAGATATTACGTTCTCGTAGTTTTAAAGACATGCTGCCTTATTTCCTAGTGTTTTTAATAATCTTTCACTCAAAATTCTTATGTCGAATGCGCTTTGGCTGTAATTTGAGTTTTAAAAATATTTTTTACCATTCTGTTGCATTTTTGTGTTTACAGCAGTTACTGCATCCAGGTATTGCGCTCTCACAGTTTTAAACCCTTTTCTATCTTATTTTCTAGTGTTTTTTTGATAATCTTCAATTCAAAATTGTTATATTGAATGTGCCTTTTTTAAATCATATTGTGCATTTTAAAAAATATTTTAAACCATTTTGCTGAAATTTACTTATTACTGTAGTACATCCAAATATATTACATTATCTCACTTTTCAAAACATACCTCATTTTTCTAGTGCTTTTGGTAATTCAAAATGTTTAAATCAAATATCTATGTTTATGCATTTTTTAAAATCATATTTTTTGTTTTTAAAAATATTTCTAATCATTTTGTTGTTTTATTGTACTGTGCCAAATCTCCAAAAGTACAAATTTAACTCAAAACAAACCTAAATGTAATTTAAAAAGGAACAGTATAAACTTTTTTGTGGAAAAGCTCTTCAACCATATGTATATGAATAAATGTGTAAATTTTATTTTATGCCAGTATTGTACAATTAAACACACAAGGTCATTTATGTTATATTTAATGTTTAAATTATCTTACTTTTACATTCAGAATTTTTAATATATATAGGGAAGAGTAGAGAATAAGAGATTTATCTTTTTTAAAATTTGGTAGCTTGAATAAGTTTTATTTCGCAGTGGTACTGAAGGTCATTATCTTATCTATAAGTGGGATAAAGGTTTGTGATTATTTTAATGTCTAGACCCTACACACCCCTATGCCCTTTACTACCGAATTGTAGGTATTAAACGACTTCTGTGGTATGTTATTTATTCGTATAAATAAAAAATATCATGTTAAAACAGATTGATCATTAAATTTCTGATATTTACTTAGGAAACTGCATCCTATCGGGTTGCTACACAGCTAGTTTACTCGTAGTTAATTTTCTATTTTAAATTTATTGCGACATTTTTACTCATAGTATAAAGTTGCATCAAAATTTCTATTTTCCGATTTTTTTTCCTTTGTTTCCCTCCAACAACACAACACACACACACAGCCGAAAAAAACATAGTGTACTCTCCCTTCCTTCAATATCATACAAAGAAAATCTTCCGACGTTTTTTCAAGTACGCAACTATGCTCATTTGGGGCTGTCCATAAATGATGTCACACTTTTCTGCAACATTTTGGACACCCCTCCCCCTCTTTGTCACAAAGTGTCACACTTCAACATACCCCTTCCACCCCCTTTGTCACGTCACGCAATTTTACGTAAACTTATACTTGCAGTTCAAAAACCTAGCACTACGTTATATAGATCATATTTCAGACTTTATTTTTAAATTTAAACTATATGTTTTAATGACATTTGTAAATATAACAATAATAATGATTCGTGCACTTATTTTGTATGAAATAAGAGAAAAGTTTACAGCAAAAACATAATTAATACACAATAGCAATAAAATTACAATTTCTGTCTGCCGCTACCCTATTCTCAAAACCTACTCTGAATGCCTTTTTTTTTTTTTTTTTTTTTTTTTTTTTTTTTTTTTTTTTTTTTTTTTTTTTGAAAGAAAGGAATGTAAGTAAAAAAAAATTTAAAAAAACAGTGAAAGTTGCTTTCGCCCCAATTAAGGAAATACCTTCAAATTTTGGATAATTTTTAAAATAACTTCAAAATTCAATCTGCTGATTTTAAACATTTTTATTTTAATCAAAATATGATCACACCTCTTGTTACGCCCTCCCCCGCCTTGTCACAAACTGTCACAATTTCACTAACCCCCTCACAATTTAGGGACACCCCTTTCACGAAATTGATGACCCGATTTTGCTGCGCCTGCACACAAGACACAACCAAGCGAAAATGTTTTCACATCATGCGCCAATTCCCAACCCCCATGGGACGACTCTATCACACCAGAAACAAACCCGCCACGCTCTCCTGCTCCTCAGACACTTCCGTAGTTGACATGTTTTCTGATATTCAAAATCTTACTCCGTACAGATAAAATCAAACACGTGGTGGAGTTCCTTCAGTGCACAAAATCGCTAGCTGCGTATTTCGGTACTCCAAACCGTTACTAGGGTACTCCGGTATTTCGTTACTTCGGTACTCCAAATCGTTACTTGGGTACTCGGTACTTGAAATCAGTTTTTGGTACTTTTCAAAGTAACGGTTACTTGAGTAACGGGTATTTTGTACCGGGTACAAGAAAGTACCGAAGTTGCCCATCACTACTGACAAGTGCTTTCAAGCATTTGTCTAGGTATTTGTGACGAGAAATACCTTGAAAGTTGACTTATTCTTTATTTATAAATGACAAAATATTTTTGTTCTCAGTATAATTTCATTGCAATGGCTGCAGCATCATTGCACTTTCATATTACTATGCCTCACCTTCAAAGCAATAGATTGACTAAACTAAATGGCTTTATTTAGCCTAGTGATAACGACCTCACCTCAACCTAATACATTTGTTTGTGTCATGCAAAGTTTGATGTTGATTCATGCATACAAAGTAGTGAAATTTTGTGTATTTTCAGTGTACTGTTCCAACTGCATTTGCATTCAATTTTTGTCCTGGATATATCCTCTTTAGTCTTTTCAAGCCACTGTGATATGCTGTCTGACCTTAAAATTTTAATCATTTACAAATTGGTATTAAAATAGCTAGCTGCATGTGGAATTGCATTCAGATCCAAAGATTGTGGGGTATTGAACTTGTTTTGTTAAAGAATATTGTTATGAGATAGCAATTACTTGAATAAATTTCATATTAATGTATATTTAAAATCATGTCTACTGAATATAACTGTATTTGTTTCATATTTTTAACTGTTTACATTTACTATATTTTCAGAAATTTAAGAGTAATTTATTGTTTCAGAATGCAGCTGAATGTTTTTATAATGTACTACTCTTTGTGAGTGGGGGATGGATGGTAGATCAAAGAACAGTAAGTTATTTTTTAAATAACTTGAACAAAATTTGAGTTAATAATTTTTTTGCCTTCCCAACAAAAGTGAATTTAAGTTAATGTTTAATATATAAAACTCTTTAATTGAAGATTGTTGAAATTTAATTTTATACCTTATTTGCAAAACACATATGTGCAAAATCAGCATTATTGAATAATCCATATTTTTGGGGACAGGTTTTTAAAATATATTTCTACTTTCTGAATACACGAGTTAGAATTAAATTTTTATTTATATAATCATATTGTTACGCTTAACTAGCACTTAGGTTTTCAGTGTGTTATTGCTGAAAAGAAATTTCATAAGAATAATTTTTGCAATTTTGATTTAAATTAGAATATATACCATTATGAAGAAAATCAATTTTATTAATGTAGTAGATTTAAGAATTTTTATTCTAAAGAAATGCGATAATTTAATTTGGTTTTTTAAATAGTATTTATATAATAGGAATAATTTTTCCATAATTTATGCACGGTGTGCAATGAGTATTCGAATATTAATACTTTGAAATAAGATTTAATTTTATCAAATTTAGAAATATGTAAATAATTTTTTTAAATGTAAAGCAGTTTTTAATTTAAAGTTTTTTATAATTATTCTGCCAATTAACTTCAGAAGTGCATATGATCTTAACAGAAAAGTATGCATTTTAGAATTTGGAACACAATTATCAGATATCCAGATACTGTAACTTCTGGAAACAAATTTGGCTTACTTTAAATGGATATGCTATACATACATATTGGCCTACTATAAATAGATGTGCTATACATACATATAAAGCTTAAGCCTAGAAATATTCCAAATTGCAGATTTCAGTATTTCTGTTTGGCTTTTCTCATAATCCAGTAAATGAGATATTTTCCTTAATATGCAAGCCTCTCAAAGATCAGAAAGAGTCTAGATTTCTTGTTTTTGCTCTGATTGGTAAACAGAAGAATTCAGAATGTTTTTTTTTTTGGGGGGGGGAGGCATGAAAAGGAAAATAATTATAAAACATGAAAACAGCCCATAACTATAAGTGTGCAAGAAAGTAAATTTTAGTATTTCTGATCATGATCAAATTCTTTCTCTATGTGCACAATTTTAATTTCATAAAATATGGCACCCTTAAATGTTAGAGATGAGCCTAAAAAAAATAATTTCCTTTGGTCTTTTCAATCTTAAATCTGACAGCAAAACTGTATTTATCATGTTTTGAAAATTTAAGAAAGGGCCCTGATATTGATGGAATGCAATACCACAACAAAATTCCTCACCTATGTATGGATGGGTGGAGAGAGGGTTTAAGCATTAGCTGTCATCTTTCTATTGAATTTCCTGGCAGCATTCCAAAAAGAACACTGGAATTAAAGATGTTACAGCTCTTTTTTTTTTTTTTTTTTTTTTTTTTTTTTTTTTTTTAATGTTGTTTGTGAGCTGAGGTTCTTTGTTGAAGGTAGCAGGCTCGGATAACTGTTTTCTTCTGTAAGAATATGTGTTAATGATATAACATGTTCATGATTTCTTTTGAATAAAAGCAAATATTGTTTAAAGAAAGATGATTCATCACTATGAAGATTCTATGCAGTACACCAACTGAAACATCCACATACACTTTGATATGGTTGTTCGAAGGTATGATAGGATGAATGAATTATGTGCCATTTTAATGAAAACGTTAAGAAAGAAGCAACCACCCTAGTACCAAGATGTTTTAGGCTGCCCTAACATTTAAGTTTTCTACTTGAGAGTGCAGAAAACTCTGCTTTCCTGTGACAGAATATCTTCTTTTAATTTGAAATTACCATAGTGTTAAGACCATTTATTAATGGCATGTTATCCAGTGTTCTACATTTGATGAAATACAGCAGAGCAATCCTGCTCAGAATCTAGAATCTACGTATAGTGAGATTTATTTAGTTGGGCAATTCTGCCCTGTGTTCTCTGTTTGGTGAAATACAGTGTGCAATCCTACTTAATGTTATATTTGAATCCACGCATGTTGAAATTTTTTGGGGCAACCTGCCCAGATGTCTTTTTGCAATGTATTGTATTTTCTACAAGAGAAAGAGAGAAAGATCCAAAAATTATTTTAAGGTTTTTGCTGGATTCCTAAAAGTCTAACCAAAGTACAAGATAAGAAGCTAACTGTGTTTTTACTTTAAGTAATATTTTCATATGTAGGAATATTAATGCAAATTAAATAGTTTTGTTGTTATTCTACTAGAGTGAAACTTAAGTTCTAGAAGAGTAATTTTTATTTCCTTGTACGTAATCACGAAAAGTTTCAGGTGGCATATTTCAATGAAAATATCCATTTTGACCGTTATCGAATGCAATTGAACGATGTTTTTACTTGACCTCTGTATGTAAAGACAGAATAAAAGACTCTTTTCCTATTTAAAAAACAAAAAAACAAAAAAAACAAGAAAACTCCTTTAAAATGAATTCTTAAGAGAATTTTTCGTGGCATCTGTACGAACGTATGTATGTACGTACGTACCTATCTCGCATAACTCAAAAATGAGTAGCCTCAGAACGTTGAAATTTTGTATATAGGACTGCTATAACATGTAGACATGCACCTCGTATTTTGGTTGCAATCGGCCACACCAAACGTATATAAATATATATATCCACTCTGTTACCCAGCTCAGTGATCTCAGTTTCTTTACTCTTACATGTTTGTAAATTGTGTATTTTTTTGCTTTAAAAATAATTGAATTATGTTGTTCTTATCTTTTGGTTAAGGTTTTTATGCCTTTAGTAAATCTGCAAGCAATATTTGTACAAATATCAACAATTTAAAAGCTGTTTAAGTGCAGTTAAGCCTGAAGTTTTAAATAACATGGCGGACATATCTGTTCACATTTGAATAGCAGAATAGTAGTTTTGTTGCCAATCTAGAGAGATTAAGCTTCACAACAATAAAGATAACACCTTCATTTATTATTGTGAATTAAATCATGCTTAATATTTTCTGGAATTTTTTTCAAGGAGGTAAGTGTTTAAGATTTACTTCATAATTTTTAATACAGATATTTTGAGTTTTTATGTATTTTTGCTTTGTCGCGAAGTGAGAACTGAATTAATTGAATGAGAAATACTGAATCGTCTGTGAAAAACTGTTTCTTTTTTGTTTTATTTGCTTAATTTCTTTTATACATCATTCTAGCTTTATTATTTATTATAGTATTTGAACAGAACATGTGGCAACGATTAAATAATTCTATTCTTTAAATGATATAAATTTTGTGCATTATGAGTTACAATATGAACGAAATATAATACTGTTGAGTGAATCTAGTGCCAGAGTGTCGCTATGGTAAACAAATACTAGAGTGAATTTTAAAGAATGCATTTATTCTATTGTGGTTTATGCGCTGTCGGCGAAGTAGATTTAATTCAATCCAATAAGTTTAAATGAAATGCAAGAAAAAATGAGTATAATTTAATATTCCGTACAAGGAAGTCATGTGGTGTACACATCAGATTTTTTTATATTGGGCTCGGTTTTCTTACTGGACTGCATGTATTATTTTTGAATTTGTAACCTTATTTTTATCTATTCTAAAAAAGGCTTTATTCAAAATTATAAATCACTCGAATATGAAAAGAATACTGCAATAATAAAAAAAAAATGGTTACAGCAAATCCTTCCAACGTACCAACGAACATTTTATTAATCACGAAAAATAAATAAAAAAAGCATGAATGGCATTCTTAATAAAGTTCGCAATAAGAAGAGAAAATCTTTGAAACTTTCGTCCAATTCTTAACGCTTCCAATTTTTGAACATGTTCGATCAATAAGCTTATCGAATGGGAGGAAGTTAAAATCGACGGCTCATTGTTCCAAAAAGAATAAATAAGTTACCGGTGGGAGGGGGAAGCTGGAACCATCCAGCAAGCTAAACTGGATGGCACCATAAAGAACGTTTCAACTATGATGGAAGACATTTTTATTGATTTTGTAATCTATCAGGTGAATGTTTTGAAAGAGGATAGAAAATGGCTGCGGAAGACAAACTGGCGCCTTTATCGCCTATCATAATCATTTTTTCCTTGTCGCGAAGTGAGAACTGAATTAATTGAACGAGAAATACTAAATCGTCTGTGGAAAACTGTTTCTTTCTTGTTTTGTTTGCTTAATTTCTTTTATACATTGTTCTAGATATATTAAGAGTATTTGAATAGAACATGTGGCAACGATTAGATAATTCTTCAAATGATGTAAATATTGTGCATTCTGAGTTATAATATGAACGAAATATAACGCTGTTAAGTGAACCTAGCACCAGAGTGTCGCTATGGTAAACAACTATAGTGAATTTTAAAGAGTGCATTTGTTCTATTGTGGTTTATGTGCTATCGACAAAGTAGATTTAATTCAATAAGTTTAAATGAAATGCAAGAAAAAATGCGTATAATTTAATATTCCGTACAATGAAGTCATGTGGCGTACACATCAGATTTTTTCTTGAAGTAATTTAAATAAACATATCAGATGGTATAACTAGATTAGTAGTTACTTGTTCTGAATCTGTTCTAATTTTATATTATTATTCTGGTGATACTTGTTTATAGAAAGGAAAGTTCTACAAAAGTTAATATTTGTCATTGATCATTTTTAAAGTAATTTAAAAAAATGGAAGGGGAACTTAAAAATAATAATTATTTGCTTTGTTATGAAATTGCTTTAATTTTATTTATTTCAGTGATAAATGTTTATAGAATGTTTTATCTACTGTGTTCTTATTTGAGAATATGAAATCAGAATTAACTATTTGGTCGTTTTGAATTTTGCACCAGCTAATTTAGATCTTTGTTCTGATTTGGAAGTTAATTTATTTAAAATAACTTTGGTCCAAAAGGTTTTGAAAGGAAGATTTAAAAATTTTAGCTGATCATTTTAGATACACAACTGCTTTTCAAAGTTATAAATTTTAAGAATATTATTCTCAGTAGCTAAGATTATTATGAAGAACTTGTAA